GGCAGATCACCTGAGGTCAGGAGGTCGAGACCAGCGTGGCCAACATGGTGAAACGCTGCCTCTACTAAACATGCAAGAATCAGCCACGCATGGTGGTGCGCGCCTGTAGTACCAGCTACTCGGGAGGCTGAGGCAGGAGAATCACTTGAACCTGGGAGGCGGAGGTTGCAATGAGCCAATATGGCACCACTGCACTCCAGCCTGGGCAACAGAGCAAGACTCCGGCTCAAACAACAACAACAACAACAAAAATCTAGGAAGCCGGTGTGCAGGGGCCCTGGTGCAGTCCCCTGGGTATCACTCCCCCAAGCCACCCACGGAGCTGCCTTTGAGGGCCCTGTCGTAGTTTCATCCAGGGTCTCTCCCGCAGGCAACGCTTTTCACCTGCGAAGTCCTTGGTTCACGTGGCCGACGCCCCCGCTGTTTCCTGCCCAGCGGTTCAGACGGTGGTGGCCCATTCATTCTAAAAGCAGCTTCAACGCTTGCCTAAGGTGGTGCCAAAGCTGGGTGCCTGTACTTTGTTTTAACTACAACACTGTTTAATCCTGAAGACAACACAAACCCTCCTGCTGCTGTCAAATTGCATTAGTTTTATTAGGAATTTGCTTTTAGAGAACAAAGGGGCTTATTTGTGTATTTGTGCTCATCTCTCAGCAATCACAGAGCTGTCATTTTTATCTTTGTCAGTGACAATCGGATGTCAGAAATGATGGATCCACTAAGTTGTTGCTGATTTTAACTTGTTTACCATTGGGCAAACAGTACTTATAAAAGCAGTTTGGAATTTTCCTGTCACTTGAAAAACAAAATGTAATGATTCCGCCCTTAGAGGGGGAGTAGGTCCAGGGAGCCATAGCGGACCCTTGCCTGGGTTGCCACCGTCCATCAGAGGAGCCACCGGGGGGGCCCTGGAGTCTGGAAGTTTCATTGCTCTGTGGAACCAGACAGGGTGGAAATGCCTGGTGTCATCACGTTTAAAAACATTTTCACATGAAACGCACAAGTGGGAGGTGCCATTGGCTGGGAAGATACCTAAAGTGAACTATCTGAGACGAGGCAACAGACACGTTATTTATTCTTTCAAGGCAGGCAACAGTAAAAGGTGAACGCGAGGGGAAAACGCTTTATCTAATGTAACAGTGAGTCGCTTTTTTTTGGTTTCTCGAATAAATAGTAATTAAATCATGTAAGCTGTGACAGCAAAATTGCTTGAAAAACCAATCCTCCTACCATAATTGCTTAGATACCCACATTTTTATAAATACTAGGTAACTTTATCCGTGGCTTTTATCAGCAGAATGTGACACGGGTTGTGGGCGCGTCATAATTTGCCATGGCTGTAGGTGACAGTTGCAAAAGCACACGTCTAAAAAATGCACTAATGTGTCCGGACGAATCTGCGCCTCTGGAGGTGTCTTATTCTGCGGCAGGATTAGAGATGGCCACGGTGCTGGAGCCGTGAAGGGAGGTTGGCATCCTGGTGCCTAGTAATGTTTTGGAAGTGAAGCAATGCGCAGCACCCAGCAGTATCAAGAGACTGCCTGCCTTCAACTCGGTTTCCAATTCACCAAGAAAGCACTTGGTGGGGCCAGGGTCTGCCCTGGCCGCATCTGCCCAGCCCACCCCAAGGCAGTTTGCAGGCATCAGTTCTGGCTTAGTAATAAAAAGGACCAGAAACACAGCAGAGCCCAGTTCTGCTGCCAGAATCCACCTGCCGTGGGGGAACGGTCCCCAGATGCCAGCTCCCTCTTGCTCCTTCTTGGGGTGGAGAAACAGGTCCGTTAGGGGCTTCACAGTCTCCCCGGGCAGGAAGAAGATTTGCGTAGGCAAGAGTGGGGGGAACCGAGGGCATATTTTTGAGGTGGAGGGTACCCACTGTGCTGCTCACAGACTCCGGCTGAATTCGGAGGTAATAGCGGCGAGGGAGAGATGCGTTTGCGGAAGGGAGTGCAGCTGTGTTGTAGATAGAACGGAAGCTCAGCGTTGCTTTGTTTTTTCCCTCCTTTTTTAAAGGCCTCTGGCTAATTCTCTAGGGGTTGAGATAAAACACACCACCCTCTCAGGAGGTGGAGAAATCAGTGCAGACCTCATGCCCCTGATGCCCACGGGGGGCCTGGAGAGCGTCCTGCATGGTTGCTGCCATTGTTACCACCCTTCTGCTGGCCAGGCCCATCCTGACTGCCTCCCTCTCCTCTTGCAGTCAAGTTCAGCAGCTGTGTGGGGACCAAGGGGACGCAATACGAGACCAACAGCGTGGACTTCAAAGTCGGGGCCGACGGGACGGTCTTCGCCACCCGGGAGCTGCAGGTCCCCTCCGAGCAGGTGGCGTTCACGGTGACCGCGTGGGACAGCCAGACAGCAGAGAGATGGGACGCCGTGGTACGGCTGCTGGTGGCCCAGACCTCGTCCCTGCACTCTGGACACAAGGTAAGGTGTGACCGCCCAGGTCTGCACCGGACTTTAGATGTCTTAGTTCCTCCTGCAGGCCCCGGGCAGAGCCTCTGCCAGGGCTCCCTCAGGACGGACAGTCACCTCCTCCTCGGGCTGTGCCGCTCAGGTCATTGCCAGCCGAGCACCCCTGCCCTCTGCACTGACCTGAGACACGGCCATCGTTGCAGGAAGGTCCCCTGGGCAGGTGCACAGGCCCACACCCAGGTTCAGACACTATGCCACGGTCTTGACGCTCTTCATATGTTTTTGAACAAGGGGCCCCACATTTTCATTTCAAACTGGGCACTGGCGTATTCTGAAATCTCTCCTGCCTCCCGAAGTTTGTAGCCCACCAGGCCCAGGGCGTTCTGAAGCCTGGAGGGATGAGAAGCGAGGCAGAGATCATGTGGTCGGAAAGGAACCAACCAGAGAGTGGGGAAGGGATGGAGAGAGAGACGAAGAGAGAGGAAGACAGGTGAAGGGAGACAGGAAAGGACAGGTAGGAGAGGGAGAGAGAGGGAGGGGGAGAAAGAGAAGAAGAGAGGCAGAAAGAGACAGGAAAGGAGAGGAAAGGAAAGGAGAGGAAGGGAGAGGAAGAAAGGGAGAGAAAGAAGGAGGGAGAGAGATGGCTGGGAGAGCGAGGAGAGAGAAGAAGGGAGAGGGAGAGAGAGAGAGGAGAGGGAGACGGAGGGAGGGAGGGGGAGAGAGAGAGAGAGAGAGACAGCTTCACACAGGCATAAAACGTCTGCTGTTCAGCATCCCAGCTGCCCTCTGACTCTGCCTTCTTCTAACCCGCTGCCTGGCTCATCTGGGTGACAGGGAGGGCGCCTTCACTATCCCCGTCCTGAGAACTCCCTTTCATCCCCGCATATTCCAGCAATCCAGCACCAGGCTCCTGAACAACCTGTGTTCATCCCCCAGTTCCTAGCTGTTAGGTTCCCTGTGCCTTATGGGGAAGTGGCCAGGTACCGTCCACCTTGAGTGTCCTGGCATTGGTTACAGCCACTATGCCAGCCTTAAGGTGTGGAGGCTGCTGAAGAAGCTGCAACTAGGAGGGCTGTGGGAGGGCGCTAAGGAAGGCCAGCCTTCGTTCAGGTCCAGCTGTTGCAGCTGCCTGCCTGGGGGGCCACAGTGGTGGAGAGAACGTGTGCCAACCCCTCCAGATCCCCCGCCCCAGGTAACATGAGGCCTCTGTGGGGTCATTTGAGGTATGGTGAGCAAAAGAAATCACCATGCAAGGCGGCGGCCGCTAGCAATCATGGGCACTCCCTTGGAAAAGGGACCTCAGGAAGTAAAGCATTAAGCAGAGGCAAGCAGATTCCTTTCCGTGGGTTTCCCAGAACCTCAGGCCTCGTGTGCTGTGTAAGCCTCTGAGTGGGACACAGTCTGCAAGTTCCCTAAACTGTCTGACCAAGGAACCCTTCTCCATGGGAAGCTTGCAAGACAGGTGTGCCAAGGAACCCACTTTGGGAAGGGAGGGACCTGTGTCTTCCTCTGACTTGTTTCTTAGATGGATGTGGAGGTGGTTTAGGTTAGAAAAGACAAAGTGTGACTCGGGCAGACAGTCTTCAGCGCGTGATGAGCTGACCCCCAGGGGGAAGGAGGTCTTGAGCATCCTCCTGAGTGTGTTAAACCAGGCAGCAGAGTGCGCCTCTAATGGCAGTGGCCCCCAAATCATGAGCCCCACCTGTGAGTCCTGAAGAGTCTAGGATGGTGTATGTCATTTTTGTTCTTTCCTGAGTGATTATTACAAGCCACGCCCGGTGAGCAAGGCAGGCCCTTGGACATCCTGGGGACCCTGTGCCATGGGGACCTCTTCCCTCCGGAAGCTGTACCGGGACACTGACAGGCAGGGACTTGCATCCCCATCACGCCTGTGACTTCCAAGCTGTCCCCAAGTCTCCGATTGTGATGCAGAAACTTGGCACCTCGTGAGCCGAGAGCAGAGCCCCTGAGAGCCTGTCGAAAGCCTCTGGTGAAGGCTCTGATTGAAAATATAATGGCACCTTTTCTTGGGCATGTTAATGAAGCGATTTCAGATTTAATCCCCTGATCCTCTGAGGAAGGGGCAGGTCCAGCTGTGGTTGCTGCTAGACAGTCCCCGTGGGAATTGCTCCTCGACCCACGCCAGGCTGGCGCAGGAAGCACCCATCCGGCGGAGCAGGGGACACTGAATTCACATCCCAGGCTCAGCACACCCAGGGAGCCAGGTGTTAAATCAGGCAGCAGAGCGCGGCTGTAACGGCAGTGGCCCCCAAATAGTGAACCGTGAGGCCCACCTGTGAGTCCGGCGTATGTTGTTTTTGTTCTTCCTGAGTCGTTATTACAAGCCATGCCCTGGTGAACAAGGCAGGCCCTTGGGCAGCCTGGAGACCCTGTCCCATGAGGGCCATGGGGTCACTGTGGGGTGCAGCCCTGAGTCCCTGAGACATGACTGTTGTAGAGCGCAGTGAGCAGTCTCCACAGCCCAGGAGACCCGGTCCTCCAGCACTTGTGTTGCCAATGGTTCCTCTCCTGACTTTCTAGGACCCACTCAGACCTTGCCCCAAGTGGTGTTAGCTCGTCTAACCCTCTCCACACGCCTGGGAGTGGGTGCTGTCACATCACAGATGAGGGTGCTGAGCATGTGACCACAGCTCTGTGCTGCATGGGAGAGTGATGTGTGGGGAAGGAATGGAAAAGGACTTTGCAGGTGTGGCAGAGCCCAACATGGTGCAAGAGCAGCCGCCCGGGGTGTGGGTCCACGGCAAGGCTTCTGCGACTTACTGGCTAGGTGTGTTGGGAGAATTCACACAACTTTGAGGTGAGCTGCTCCGGAGAATGGGAGAGTAATGCTACCCACGTCCCAGCCAAAGGGTGTTGATATTTCATGAGGTTATGGAGGTCGGGGGTGGAAAATAGCAGCATATGGCTGTCATTGCCTGGTTCCAGACTTCACGGTCCTGTGCTTATCACAGCTGCTGGGCCTCGCCGGGTGGCGTGGGGGCAGGAGGAGGCAGGCAGGGAGTGGGAGCCACTGTGGGATGCTGGGTCACCTGGTTGATGCGCCCTTGCAGAGCGTGATGCCAGCCTCTATCGATGATCAAGGTGACACCGGATTGCTGGTGTCCTGGCCGCCTGCCAGAAGCAACTGTGCATCTTCCCCAGTGTGAACTGTCACCCAGGCCTTGAGCTGTGCCCATCTCCTTTCATACTCAACGTCCAGCACTCAGCCTCATGACTGGGCACATGAGGAGGGATAAGATGTAGAAAGAACAATCGAAGGAAGTAGCAGAAAAGAAAGGACCCACAGGGGCCAGGTGCGGTGGCTCACGTCTGTAATCCCAGCACTTTAGGAGGCCGAGGTGGGCAGATCATGAGGTCAGGAGATTGAGACCATCCTGGCTAACACAGTGAAACCCCATCTCTACTAAAAATACAAAAAATAAAATAAAATTAGCTGGGTGTGGTGGTGGGCACCTGTAGTCCCAGCTACTCGGGAGGCTGAGGCAGGAGAATGGCGTGAACCCGGGAGGCAGGAACTTGCAGTGAGCCGAGTGAGCCACTGCACTCCAGCCTAGGTGACAGAGCGAGACTCTGTCTCAAAAACAGACAACAAAGAAAGGACCCACAGAGGCTCCAGAGCATGGGACGATCAGACAGATTTTACAGTAACTACACTTACTATCTTTAAGCAAATTAAATAGAAGACTTTCAGAGATAATTAAAAGGTATAAAACAGAATTATTAATCATTGGGCAATTTGGAACTGAAAACTAAACCAAACAAAATGAAGAGCTCAATGGATAGATATATCTGCAGATTTGACATAGCTGAAGAAAGAACTAGTGAAGCAAAAAGTATCAAAAAATTCATGCTGTAAAGCGTGAAGAGATACACAGAAGGAAAATACAGAAGCAAGCATAAGAGATATTGGAGAAGTAGTAAGAAGGTCTAACGTGTATATTTGCAATATGAGGGGGAGAGAGAAAACGGAGCCGAAGTAATATTCGAAAATATAGTGGCAGAAAATATTCCAAAACTGATAGCATTCATCTAGGCATGGATTCAAGAAGCCCTGTGAACTCTATGCAGGAGAAATATTTAAAAAAACAGTACCTGGATGCTTTATAGTAAAATAGTTACAACCCGAAGACAAAGAGGAAATCTCAAAAGCAGACAGAAAAGGCAGAGTTCCTTTGAGGGAGCAACGACTAGGAGACTGACTTCTCAGCAGGAGCTGGGGGGTGTTGGGGGGTTAGAAGACAATGGAATGATTTTTTTTTTTTTTTTTTTTTTTGAGACAGAGTCTCACTCTGTCACCCAGGCTGCAGTGCAGTGGCGCGATCTCAGCTCACTGCAACCTCCACCTTCCAGGTTTAAGTGATTCTCCTGCCTCAGCCTCCCAAGTAGCTGGGATCACAGGCGTGTGCTGCCATGACAGGCTAATTTTTGTATTTTTAGTAGAGATGAGGTTTCACCATGTTGGCCAGGCTGGTCTCGATCTCTTGATCTCATGATTCACTGGCCTTGGCCTCTCAAGGAATATCTTAAAAGTGCTAAAAGAAAACAGAATTCTATCATCCGGTAAAACTGTCTTTCAATAATTAAAGTTGAATGAAGAGAAACTGAAAGAATCTGTCCCAAATGATGTTCTTCAAACAAAATAAAACAATTTGAGGCAAACACTCAGAAATGGAGGAAAGAATGAAGAGCTGGGAAAAGGCCAAGTACACAGAAAAATACAAATGAATCACAGCAGTATAACGTTTCATGGGTGTAAATAGAGAACTCGAATTCACAGCAAAACTGCATAAACTTTGAGAAGGGATAAATGGAATCAAAGAGATGGAAGTTGTTTGCATTTTTCTCAAAAATGATGGAAATCACAAATTAATATTACTCCTAAATAAAACAAAGACACTTGTTACAAAGTCTTTAGAAAATCAATAAAAGAGTCATAAAAGTCTATAAATAGTGACATAATAAATTTTTATTATTCTGTTTTTTCCATTATC